TTAATATAAGAAGTATTTTATTATTTAAGTTTCTTTGTTAGAAATGTTGCCTGGTTCTGGGATTCGGTTTGGCCAATGAGAAATTGAAGGAATATGAATAAAAAGGAACTTTAACTTTAAATTTTAACTATAATCTGAACCATTTCTAACCATTCAAGTTCAATGATCTGTCACTTAGCTTTTTTAATTTAGTTAGGCGAGGCAGAATTTAACTATCTATTCTGAACACAACTTTGGTTTTGTGATTTTACAATAACGTGATTAATATATATTGGTAGATTGTACGAAGATTAACGGTGTGTTTTAAATAATCAAAAAAGTGGTGGAGAGAATGAAGCCTGGCATGTCTAACTAATTTTCAAGTTTCTAGATAATTTTCTGGAGTGGTTGAGACTGGAAATCTCGACTTTTGTTTTAATCATATTTTGTTTACTTATTTATTTTATTTTCTCCCAATAATTAAATCTCTTTCTCCTTCTAGTATAGATGGGTATGGCAGAAAACAATAATAAGATGGAGGATGGAGCACTAGAAATTTGCATGGGTAAACTTTCTTGCTTTATATCAGCTGCACGATCATTATAAGCAACTCGATTTGCTTATGTTAAAATTAATGTTTCCTATATGATTTGAATGTTCCGTTTAATAACGAGAGAGAAATTATTGATAACACTTTGGTTAAACTGCCACCTGTGTTTCAATAAGAAGGGATCTGTTGCATGAAAGAAGTGTTATCACTAATAACCATCTTTATTTTCTTGAGTTAATTGTAGAACATAGAACTATTTCGGAGTTGATGGGCCATTGGTAATCCTTGATAAAGTGAAGGCAAGTTCTGTTTCTCTCACTCATTATCTAGTAACCTATGTTGCTTTGAATCTTCACTTCGTGAAGTATCTGGGTTTGATACCTGTATCCAAAGCATATCTAGACATAGGAATATTGATATGACCCTTTCAGAACCCTTAAAGTACATGGGAAATTTAGAAAAATAAACATACTCATGTCGAATACATACTTGTATCAGACACTTACATCCGAGTCCAAGAAACATAGCTGGTACTGTTGTCAATCTTTTATAGTTTTGATTTCAACTTTTCTTCATTTGGGGGTTCATGCTTTTTACAGGGCCCTAAGTTTCAAGAATAATTAATATTCGTTTAGGGGATGAAACAACTAGACGTGGTCAAGTCCTAGAAGTTGATGGGGAAAAGGTTGTTGTTTAGGTAATTTCCTTCTTAGTTTCTTTAGCATTCCTTTATAACTATGAATTCATGTTATGTGTTCATGCCAAAAGGAATAATGTCAACTTCTTCACCATGAAATATTTGAGGCTTATATTATGGTGCAAGGTTTGATGCAGTGATTTCATTAATAGATGATATGTTTCTTCATAGTATACTCTACTTACGAGGCACTTTGGTTAGGTATTTGAAGGAACTTATGGAATCGACAACAAGTATACAATTGTGCAATTTACAGGAGAGATATGTAACCTCCTGTTTTTCCTATAACTAAGACAATCCTTATCTTGCATCAGTGGCATGCAAAATAGCTTAAACATTACAACAGATGCTGATACATTTTAGATGTTACTTGTTTTTTAAATCTTGAGTTATCTGGTTCTGTAATAAATTAGAGGGGAAACGAATCTTGTTCTTACTAGTCCATGGACATACATTACTTTGTGCAGTAAACTAAGGTTTTAGATAGGCATGATTCCGGTTGATTTGGTTGTTATTATTTTAGAAGTTTTCTTCCTAAATACGTCTGATTTTATCCATTTGTGGTCTCAACAAATTAATGTTTTGTTTTTGCCATCTTCTTTGGCTGATAAATCTCAGATTTGGCAACAGCTTCAGCACTACTCTCAGTTCCCAAACTTCAACAACTATCTCGTTTTCATCCTAGCACAAGCTGAGGTTTTCTATCTCCGTTTATCTCTGTTTTCTATCTCCGTTTACCTTTTCCATGAGTCCTTGTTTAAACTGGTATCACATGGTTGATCAGGTTTTTTCTGCTTTATAAAATATACCTGAGCTTGTTTTGTCACTTACATTATTCCAGGCAGTGGCTAATTCTACATCAGCGACTTTCTTACGTGTTGTTGGAAGTGAATTAATTCAGAAGTACTTGGGAGATGGCCCAAAATTAGTTAGGGAACTCTTCAGAGTTGCTGATGATATTTCCCTTTCAATTGTCTTCATTGATGAAATTGATGCAGTTTGTACTAAGAGGTAAGTTAGTGAAACTGTCAGGCCTTGGTAGAAATACATTTCGAATATTTCTCATTAATATTGTACCATGTACAAGTTACTGATTTTGTGAATGTTATTTAAATTTGTGGTTGTAACATTTGGAATTGATTCTGTTAAAGAAGATTGGAATTTTTTGTGCTTCTAAGAAAATATTGTGCTTGTGGGTTGAATATTTGCTTCTTCAATTTTTTTTCTGGAATCTTGTTAATTTTTCTCTTTGTGAATGTTGTTCCATTTTTTGATTATTGCTTCCTTCTCCTATATTTGGTTTTCAAGTGTTACAATGTATTTGATGTATTTTGGAAGGTGCTACTGTAATGTATTTATTTAAAATGGCTTACCATTTACCATCAACGAGAATCTGAATAAGTGGAAGTTGCATCAAAAAAAATATTAATGGTTCTTTTTTTTCCTATAATGAGCTTTTTTGCGGCGTTTGTATCAAAAAACGCCGCTATAGATATGAGATTTTGCGGCGTTTGTATCCAAAAACGCCGCTATAGATATGACCATTTGCGGTGTTTATTCCAAAAACGCCGCTATAGATCTGACCTTTTGCGGCGTTTGTTCACAAAAACGCCACTATAGATCTGACCTGTTGCGGCGTTTGTTCCAAAAACGCCGCTAAATATCAACACCTATTGCGGTGTTTGTTGGACAAACGCCGCTAAATATCAACACCTATTGCGGCGTTTGTCCAACAAACGCCGCTATATATCGTTACCTATTGCGGCGTTTTTTGTTACCAAACGCCGCGAACTTTAGCGACGCTATTTTCAGTGGCGTTTTTTGCGGCGTTTGCCATAGCGCCGCAGGTGTGTTTTGCGGCGCTTAAAAACGCCGCTATAGGTAAAAAAACGCCGCAAATATACAGTTTTGCTGTAGTGTTTTAATAATTCATTAAGTGAACTCAATGATAAAAAAAGCATATTGTTATTCTTAGAGGTTTTGAGTTCGAGCAGTTGCGACTATAGGTGTATGTGAATTGTCAAATTGTCAAGAAAATTTTGAACATATAATATCTTTTTGAAACATAAGATTATTATCTTCTAATCACCTTAGACTATTCAAAAAATTATTTTAAGAGTTGTCGGTCTAATTAACTAATATTCCCTCTATCCAAAAAAATATCACAAATATTTTAATTACTTAATTTTTATAATTAATATATTTAAAACTACTTCATTTATAGACTTTAAAATATAATTTTTTAATTTTTTAATTTTTTAACTAATATATTTAACATAATAAAAGTTAAAATTTTTGTATTTATACATACATTTTTCTCCCAGATAATATTGATTTTTATTGATAACAAAAAAGTCAATTATAATCACTGCAAAGATGAGAGCATTAGTTTGGTGCAAGGCATTGAAAGAATTTAACTTCCTGAATGAGAAGCTGTGGATGGGGCATCTTCGAAGGATGCAACAGGCTGTGGGGTGTGTTAAGATCAGGAGCTGGGTATGTGGTGGCAATGTTTTTTGGGCCTGCATCATGTGTTAATTCTGATTTTGCTGAGCTGTTAGCTATCAAAAACTGCTTTAGAGATATTTAGTGAGTCTAGTTGGTGTGGGGAGATTGAGCTGATTATAGAATATGATTCGAAAGTAGCATTGAACTGGGTTCATTCCTCCCTCATTCGTCCTTGGAGGTGGGGAGCTTTATTTGAAGAGATTGATTGAAGGTTAGTGACTGTAGGGAAGGTACAACTTGTGTATACTCCTAGGATATGCAACAACATGGCGGATTACCTCGCGAAGATTGGAACAAGCATACAAGAAATGTTTAAAGCCTATTGATAAGATGGTCTTCGGGTATGTGTCTGTATGCTCTGCTTAGTTTAAAGCCCGTATGCTCTGCTTAGCTGCTTTTATCTAGTAGGTTTACTGAGTTGTTTGGTAGCATGAAGTTATGTGGGTTGCTCTCTGTTATCAGCTTCTTTTCGTGTTGATTGTCTGGTATTGTTTGGTATGTAATGTTTATGAAGATTATTGTCTAGTTTTGGCATAATGAGAGCCCATGTATGTTTTCTGGACCGGTTGTATGTATCCCAACCTTGGAGTACAGGCCTAGTGGGGATTTTAACGAAGCTCTCTGTTGGAGTGAATTTAAAACTCGGTAATAAAATTACATGTTGTTGAGCAAAAAAAAAAAAAATTTATAATCACTGCACATTGTTGGGATGGAGGGAGTACGAGCTTATACCGAAATTTAATAATTTTAACAATTTAAATTATAAAACTTTCTTTTTGATTTAAAGCAAACATTGAAAAAATGCTTGCCCCAACATATTTGTTTGGATTTGCAGAAGAAATCTCCTTTGATACTGCATCATATGTAGGTAGATTTACATGTAATGCATACAAAAAGAAAACATGGTAATAATTAAAATTCAGATATATTCTATATCGACTTTAAAATATATTAAAAAAGCCTTAAAATGAAATATGAATGAAATTTAAGTGATTCCTATAAAATGTTTGGTAAAAGTACCCTTCTCTCTAGTTTTTCAGTCCTATTAATAATCCCCACGGAAATACATGCCCAACCACTCTGATTTCCTCAGACTGCACTGCAAACCCTAATCTTTCTTTATTATATTACTCTAAATCCAAATTTACATGACTGCTTCTCTTTTTTAACTCAATATACCAAGCATTAATAACAAATCAACGTTAACTACACTAACTTATAAGCCACTCCTTCCCCAAACTGCAGCTAAAATTTCACACTCACCTCTCAATATGGTGTTGGTCTATGCCCTAGTCGAAGCTCTAGATCAACCTCTTCGTTGAGACTATTATTATCAGTGGGTGGTTCGGCTCCGGTCATCGAGTACCAGAGAGGAGAGGAGGGAGAATTGTTCTTCCCCGGTGGTGCCATTGAGTTGTTAAAAGGATACGGTGACATGGAGGATGCGTTGATAGGTGGAGAAGTGAAAACCCCATTAGGTGTAGGTAATTGGTAGAGAAAGCAAAGGCTGCCATTTGTGGGGAATTCTTGAGTAGGAAACGCTGATGTGGTTTGGCTGATTAATGGAACAGTAGTAGTAGTAGCAGGAGGAGGATGTGACTGGTGAAGACGAGCCCGGTCACGACGGTGCACATTCATGTGGCCGCCGAGGGCTTGAGCGGACCGGAACTCCCTTCGGCAGAAAGTGCAAGTATAAGACCTCGGGGGCCAAGTTGTGCCCATGGCATGACCTCTGTCATCGGCAAAGGCCTTAACCTCCCAGGAATCATCATCGGATTCATGAGGTTGGGGGTTATGGTTCCAGACCCAGGAGCCAGCAGCAGCCATTAGGTTTTGGTGGTCGTTGTGATTTTGTTGAGATTGAGCTAAGTTTTGGGTCAGTGAGAGAAGGCTAAGGTCAGCAGCCATGGTGGTAGGAACATTTAAGATAGGGTGAGATGAGGATTGAAATGTGGGGGATGGGTTTAATATAGTGTTGGGGGGGGGGGGATGGGCTTAAAGAAGGGAAGGTATAGGACAAAATAAAACCCTAACACGGCATATCATCCAAAGCATTTGGATGTATGCAACAATGGCATTATAATAATCAAAGTTTGGACACTCAACTCAACTAGCTATCCCTATTGTGCATGGACTTTGGCTGCAACGCCATCTGGCCATCTGTTTGCTCTCTCATGCATTTCTTGCTCTTCAATTCAATCCAAAATACCATTCAAATACATTGTATATATCTTCATTTTAATTCAAATCATACTGGATGCCCCTACTAAGTTTATCCAAATTAATTTTAGTAAATTAGTTTAAGTTATTCATTCATTTTACTGCTTACAATGTTGATTATTGTAATGATTGAGGATCATTTATAATTTGTTATAGAAAGGCGTGATCTGTAAATTTAAATTGTTTAATATTATTATTGTTAAAAAATGTGTGAAAAGTTAAAATATTTATTTTAGATATGGTATTAAGAAATCATCTAGGATTGGTTTTGAGTATAATTATGTATATTTATACATGTGACATGTTTTGTCAAATATTATATATTTGTGCGTCTAGAATATAATAAGAGACCTTAAGTCTTTAATTATAATCTTCATTTTTTTTATAAGAGGATGAGAAAGAATATAATTACATTTTTTTAAATTTTTTTATTAATATTATTTTAAAATTTAAATATATATAACTTTATATTTAGAACTTGTATCACTAAACATAATGTATGGAATTAAAATGTAATTACACTTTATCGATAAAACATGTATAAAAAATTATAATTTCATAATCAAAATTAATATACAATCAATGATATTAACACTTTAAGAGTTACTGTATTAAGACTATGATACGATAATACAAACAAAACTCCATAGATTAAAATATTATTATATTGTAGGATTTTTAATTTATTTTTAATTTTATTTAATCTTCTTATAAGGATATTCATTTCTACAATTCTTGTAAAGATATTACTATGCACTCATTCTGTCAACTAGGATGTGGACTGTCAATACATTATATAAATTAGCATCTAAATTCTATATTTTGTTGGTTTCTTATTGTTCCATGCAATTAAACCCTTATTTCACCTTAAAAAAAGAATATAAAAATCTAAGTTGAGCCAAAAAATCCACACACAAATCTGACATAGAGCAATCTATGGTTACAACTTTAATGTTTTCTTTGATATAAAGGAGGTGAAACACCTGTTTAAATAATATTATTATAATTAATTTTTTAAATTTGAATTTATACATATTATGTATAAAAATGATTATATAAATAAATTAATCTTGTATATATTACAAATTTCTGTTAGATTATATAGATACAACACACACATATACATATATATATATATAGTAAATAATAATTGTATACTAATTTATTATCATAATAAGATTAGTCTGGAATTAAGGTTTTCAATATTTTGAGATTTTTTTTAGATTTTAAAAAAATGGAATTTTTTAAGTTATAGTTTTTTAAGTTTTTTTGTTTAAATAAAAATTTCAAAATTTTATAAACGTGACACGTATAATATAATGAAATTTTTTAGCGGTAGATATATAATATCGGAGCGATTAAATTGATAATATTTGTAACGTTATACATCTAAATTGATCGAAAAAATATTTCTTTTATAGTTAAGCCTATATATAATCCAATAATTCTTTTAATATTCTTTTTAAATGTTAAGTTATCGTGTGAAGAAAGGTGTTTCCTTCTCACATAGCTGTTTTCGCCCTCCACTACACCAACAAACAATTGATAATCAATTTATTTGAGCTATCATTGTTGAAATCGTCGTGTTTTGCTTTTTGCCAGTTCACGTAGCTACCCAGAAATATCCATTGCCTCTCTCATTGCTAGTAAAAATTGGCCTTAAATTAATTAAGCTAACAGCTTGGCTTTTAAGCTTCTTAGTTAGAATCGTTTAACCATTAACGAGGGTTTAGTAACATTCCCATGATCCAGCTAATCTTGTCCCATTTCAACATCATAAACTTGGAAATTTTAATGACAAATTGACCACTAAAATATTCTATTTTGATGGGCTCTACCAGCTTATTGTGAATGATTTTGATGTATGGAGGACAAAAATGAGTAGCCACTAAGAAAAAGTTAAAAGAGAAGCAAATGATGCAGAAAGGTTGTCACTTCAAGTATTAAATCCATGCTTTATTCTTAATAAATTCCATGGTATCTATCAAACCAAGTGACGTTTTTACGACTGATGCTCAAACAATTCTTAGTTTAAGAAAATATTGCACGTCAAAGAATTTGATCCAATAATTTCATTAAATTTTATAATATCCAGTTGATCGCCTGCATGCATAAGCACTGTGTCTGTTGCTTCTGTGTTGACATTACTATGTGAAATTACAAAGCTGAAATCTCAAGTTTCCAGGGATTATTATTGATCATCAAGTGTCTATCACCATATAAGATGATATGGCATCAGTCTTTTGATTAAATTTTATATTTGTAGCCTTATCGTCTGAACTTTGTAATGAGAGCTATAGTACTCTGCAAAATATGGGAGGAAGTAGGCGTTTATATATATATATATATATATATATATGTTTGTTTATTAAATTAAATAAATGAGTAAAAGTAAAGTTTTTATATTCATTTAAAAATAAATGAATAAAAAAATATGTGTGTCCAGTTTGTTTATGTTCATGAACAAATTGAAAGCTCGTTTATTGATTCATTTATAAATTTGTTTATTGACTCGTTTGTTGACTCATTTATAAGTTTATTTACCCTATTCTCCTTTTCCATTTATTTATTTTTACATTTAAAATATTGGTGAAGATAAATACTAAATTGAACACAAGATGAATTTTAGAATTCAAATTCTGAAACCTAAGGAGCATTAGAACTAGTGATGTAATTTCACCAACATGTTTTGAAACATTAAACGAAAATGTTGACGAACACTAAATGAACCAAATAAAAACAACTTCAAAAATAAACAAACAAATATGAATAAAGCCTCACTTATTCAAGTCCAACTCATTTACATCCAGAAGGTATCTTTTCTCTTATGGAGCAAGTAAAAATGGAAATGATGGGTCAAAATCCCATGGCATACCCACCGACACAATTCACTTGATTCCTAACAAAGCTTTTTGTATATGGAGTTGGGTTTTGCATTGGGAAGGTATCGAGTCCATTGCCCTATAGCCGTAAGCCATAGCTATCACTGTCATGACCTGGTTGAGTTGCCAAGGTTTTATCACATGCATGTATACTTCTAGATATATAAAATACAAATAAGAGCACCCTTTAAACGGGATATTAATTACTCTAGATCCAGTATATACATGATGCCTAAATATACAAATGAGGCCCATTCCCCAACTGTTACTACAATACAACAGGTTCGGATACAATGTTAAACAATTGCATGCCACAGCAATTTGAGTGTAGATCATATGGAATATGGCAATGCATCTTCGTTGCCTATTTCCCAGATTTTGTTATAGAACAAGTAGAATGAACACATATATGGAGATTGGAGACCCACAAAAATAATTGGTTAAACTACATAAATGGTCACTCATATTTAAGTAAGTTTCTCTTTTCTCTACTAATGTTTCAAAATTAACAATTCGATCACTAACGTTATTGATTTATGACAAATTGATTACTCGATATTAATAATTTTTATTGCATGTGACGAAATGTTAATCTGACGCATTAACCGATTGACTTGAAAATTGCACTGCCACTTAAGACCACCCTCTACAGTAATCTGTCGCTCCCCTCTTTAAATAAATCAAATCCATAAGACCTTAATTTATCCAATCCTACATTGATTCAGGTTGTGATATAAACTCCAAGATCGATTCTTGTGACACAACTTTGATGATTTGCACAAAGTAAAAGCATGAAGAATGTCTCAAAGTACAACAATTTTCAAATTGTTAATATCGAGCAATCAATTTGTTAAAAATCAATAATATTAATAATCAAATCGTTATTTTTAAAATATCAGTAGAAAAAGATAAACTTACTCAAATATAGATGATCGTTTATGTAGGTTACCCAAAATAATTCAAGTACCAATGTGCCCTCTTTGATTCTGTACGATTAAATGGGAAAGTACCCAAAACCAAAAGTGCTTTCTTTCTGTTGGGTTTTCAGTTGATGAATTGAGCCATTTTCAAGTCCAAAACTGATACTCTGATGAGATGTATTGGCCTCCACCACCCACCCAAATTGTTTGTCTCTTATTGTTCCTTAATGATACGCTGTCTCAATTCTCTCTTGACTATGCAGTCAAAGAACCCAAAATGCATAAAAGGTTAGTGCTTCCATCCTCCACTTTCTTCCCCCTTCCCCCCTGTTTTATTGCTTAGAGAAAATTATTTCCTTGAAATATTATGATTATGGTTTCTATTTCAGCATTTGAATCTTTTAAAAGTTTTGTGGGTAGTGGAACCTTGTTGATTGAAGCTTTTTCACAAATTTATCATTCTAATGCTACGCTGACTCTAAATTTGATGGGGGTTTATACCAATTTAGAGGATGCCTTTATTTATTTGGTATTTTGTATTCCCATGTCAGTTGAATTGTAGAGTTTAGGGTGTGTGATAATGTGATTTCTGATAATTACAATGCCCTTGCATCAAGCTTGTGCTATGCCTGATTATTTCAGTGGAGTTGGGTATTTTTGTCAATTATCATGATATCAAAAAAGGGTAACCTTAAATGGCATAGTTGCTTTTCTGTGCAAATGGCAACATCAACCATTGTTTCTCTTGACAGCTCATTTTTCTGTATATGCCTTTAGCAGTTTGGGAGATTTAGCCCACACTTTAGCTTATGGTGTGTAGTATTTCTTGCCATTTACCGATGAGTTATCAGAGTTCATTCTTGGTTGTTTATTATTTAGGGTGTTT